TGAATTATATGAAGAGGAAGGTGACATCAGGATTGGAAAAAAACTCATTAACAACCTGTGATATGCAAATAATACAACCTTGCTTGCTGGAAGCGAAGAGGACTTGAAATACTTATTGATGAAGATCAAAGACTACAACTTTCAGTATGGATTACACCTCAATATAAAGAAAACAAAAATCTTCACAACCAATAAATAGCATCATGATAAATGTAGAAAAGATTGAAATTGTCAAAGACTTCATTTTGTTTGGATTCATAATCAGTGCTCAAGGAAGAAGCAGTCAAAAAAACCAAACAATGTTTTACATTAGGCAAATCTGTTGCAAAAGGGCTTTAAAATATTAGAAAGCAAAGAAGTCAGTTTGAGGACTAAGAGGGACCTCACCCAAGCCATGGTGTTTTCAATAGCTTCACATGAATGTGAAATTTGGGGAATGAATAAGGAAGATCCTAGAAGAAATATGTATTGAGAGCCACTAATTCTCAAACACTGAGCGCACACAGACAATGGACAAGTACACAAATAGTGACTCAGCTGATGCAAGTGCTGCAAAACCAAGTAAAACTATAAGATAGAGAGTGATGGATGCTATTTTAGGTAGAAGGAACCCTGGTAGCATAGTTATTGTTGTTAAGTGCCATCAAGTCAGTTCTGATTGTATAGGGTTTCCAAGGAGTGGCTGGTGAGCCTGAGCAGCCTACACTGCAATTCAAACCGACCTTGTAGTCAGTCCAGCGCATGAACCTGCAGTACCACACCAGGACTCTGGTAGCACAGTGTTTAAAGTGAATGGTCATAGTACAAACCCACCACCCACTTTAGGGGAGGAAGATGTGGCAGTCTCCTTCTGTGGCCTAGAAAACCCTGTGGGACTGTCTTATTCTGTCCTATAGGGTCACTATACATCAGAACCGACTCAGTGGCCAGGGATTTGGTTTGGTTTATTTTAGACAGAAAGGGAATTAGAAGATACTGTATTGAGTCCTTAACCCTCTGCATTTTTTAGTTGAAAAAGGTAGTTAATAATGAGTTTTCTGTTTAATTCATTTATATGTAACATGATTGAATTTTTTTTAAAAAGTAAAAGTTTTTCTCATAGGACATCTGGGTTCTAGTTCTAACTATTTTTAAACAGCCAAGACTGTTTACATTTCAAGGCTGGTTTCTCCTTTGGGAAAATGTGGATTATACATATTTATCTAGGGTGGTTTTGTGTAGAAAATTTGCAATACACGAGACAGGATTTTGTAAAAGTGAAATGTATTGTGCAAATATAAAATATCATTAGGTGGAAACTTCCTTTCCATCAAAAATGTTTTTAAATTTAAAAATTTTTTAATTAAAAAAATTGTTTTTCTTTTGATCTCTTTTCCCTCTTTCAGAAATAATGCAATCAGAGAGTTTTAATTCTAAATACCTGCAAAATTCTTTCTCATATGATGTTAAGCGACTGGTGTACAATGAGGAGACCTTTCAACAGGAACACAGAAGGAAGGTCCCTTCCTCAGGGAACTTGGACATCAACATTACCACCTTCAGACATCACGTCCAGTGCCGGTGAGTGTGCGCGATCCTTCAGCTGCCACCAACCCGGGCAGGACCCAACCCATCCTGATTCCATCAGTGCACATCTCTCTTGTCCTTCTCTGACTTTCTGTTCCCAAACCATGACACTTATTGAGTAATTTTTCTTCAGTTTACATATATATTTATGTGTGTGTATAAATATATGGAGTCCTGGTGTGGTGCTGCAGGTAAATGCACTGGACTGCAGGGTCGGTTTGAACTGCAAGGCATGCTATTCAAGCTCACCAGCTGCTACTTGGAAACCCTATACAGGGCCCTCATGTCCATCAACACAGAGCTCACCACCACATCTAGGACGATTCCAGAGAAGACCATGTGACTAACCTGGTCCTAATCATTCAGGAGCTCTTAACCCGCTTCTGTGCTTTTAGAACTCTGGGGAATTTATAAATCTCTCCAGAACAAGTTTTCATACATAAAACACATTGGATTGTGAAGGAAAGTAGTCATATACAATGATCAAAAGAATTTTTCAATGTTTATTATTTAATAATGTGGGTTTAAAAACTGCCCTGGAGTCCTGGTGTAGCACTGTTGGATAAACACTAGGTGGCTAATTGCAAGGTCATCAGTTCAAACACACCAGCTGAGTCAACAGCTCTTAAATAACAACAATAACTACAATGGAGCCCTCGTAGCGTAGTGAGGTACATGTTGGGCTGCTAATCACAAAGTTAGCAGTTCAAATCTACTAGCTGCTCCGCAGGAGAAAGATGAGGCTTTCTACTATAAAGATTTACAGCCTCAGAAACCTTATTCAGGGTTGCTGTGAGTTGCAATGAACTCAGTGACACACACCACCACCAACAACAACTACCATATTTCCAAAATATTGATAGAAATGATATTTCAAGATAGCCTTAACAATTGTGACCTGATCCAAGAATATTTGTGATTTTTTATTGGTGACATAGTCATATTATGGTTTATTGTCAATAATCACTATGGAAGGAAATAATAAATTTCAGCTAAAGGTTAATGAAAATAAAGACAAAATTTTTCCTATCCAAATTTACAGAATCTTCTCCCTCCACACAAATTCTATCTGAAGACCCATTAGGGGCCCAGAGATCCCACAGACCCCAGAGTAAGAACCCTTGATGGCCTACATCACGATATTAACCCTACTCATTCAAGTCATCATCACTCATCCTGTGGATTTACATTGCCTATAATTGGTATGTGGAGTCCTGGTGTGGTGCTGTGGGTTAATGCACTCGACTGCAAATTGTTTGAACCTTAAGGTTGGTGGTTTAAGCCCACCAGTTGCCCTTTGGAAACCCTATACAGGGTCGCTGTGGATCGAATGGCACTTAACAACAACAACAATTGCTGAGTGCTGGATGACAAGCGGCACAGGATCATGCATAGCCCTGTTTCAGACCTTCGCCTCTCTGAAGCATCCTCTTTTGTCATATTCTACTTTTTAGAAGTTATGGTCTTGGATGGGTGTGCCACTATAGGAGAATCACTGGAGTGCTAACCACAAGGTCTGTGGTTTGAACCTACCAGCTGCTCCTATGGTCACTATGAGTCAGAACTGACTCTACAGCGCTTAGCAACAACAACAACATGGTCTTGGACAGAGGTGTATCTAAGGCATGGCAAATGTGATCTGTGCTCTGCGCACCACTTGAAGGGGGCACCCTGAATTTCTGTTAACCATGGCAGTGAGAGTTCATTTAGTAGGTACAATAATGCTTTCGTACTTGAGAACCTCCATGGATCAAGGACTCCTGGTGTGGCACTGTAGGACCAGACTGGATTGTGAACCACAAGGGCAGCAGTTCAAACCCACCAGCTAGCTGTTGCTTGGAAACCCTGTACTGGGTCGCTGAGTCGGAACTGACTCGATAACGCTTCGCAACAACATGGGCAGGAGAGTACTGATGCAGCACTGTAGGATAAGCATTGGGCTGCTAACCACAAGGTCAGTGGTTCAAACTTACCAGCTACTTCGTGGAAACCCTATACAGGGTTGCTATGAGTTGGAACCGACTCATTGGCACTTAACAACAAACAACAAGGATCAAGGCAAGCAGCTCTGGTTGCACTGTGCTGCTACTAATGGCAAGGCCAGCAGTTCCAATCCACCAGCCACTCTGTGGGAGAAAGATGAGGCTTCCTATTCCCATTAAAGATTTACAGCCTCAGAAACCCTATACAGGACCGCTATGAGTTTGAACAGACTCAATGGCAAATAGTCACCACCAACCACCATGGGTCAAGGGAAACTCTGTGATCTTACTCTGCAAAGTATAGAAAGAGGAGAAATGGAAAAGATAAAAGAAAAATGACTTTGAACATATCCTAGATTAATTTTCATCAATGAAAGCAAAGAAAGTGCAGTTATACTTTTCATGTGGCGTCATCATATGTTAAGTAAAAGATTAAAGAGCTTGACTTGTATTTTTTTTTTTTTTTTTCCATTTTTGTTTTGGGTTTTTCCTGATGACCTTTCTTTGAAGATGTATCTTCTGTCGCTCTAGCTGTTCCAGGGTGTTCTGCTTGTCCTTTCTAGTGGGAATGTCCCACCTCAGAAGGTTGTGGATGAGGCTCAGGATTCCACCTAAGGTTCTATATACTGCAAAGGCTCCGCAAGAGCCCTATTTCACTGGGGAAGTTGTAGAACTCCTTTTAGGTTTTCCAATCAGTTATAGGCTGAAGACAGGCTTATAAGCTTTCTGTAATCATGCTTCCCGACATTCTCTTCTATCCCACTCAAGTGTCTATTTGACAATAGTAGGCAAGGGAAACCAATATTCATAAGACAGTCAAGCTTCTTAGTATTACTTCCTCTCTTCAGACTATGCCTCAATCTCTGTATCACAGAGCCCTGTTGTGCCATGCATCACTATTTACCTGTGTCCCATTTAGCCCGTGCAAACCTGTGTCAGTGTTCCCTTATCTACCTTGCTTTTCCACCCCTCCCCCTTCTTGTGTATTGCCCTTCCCAACACCTAAACTATGATGTATCTGCCCCCTGCCCTATGCTCTACCATCACCTCCCTCCACCCCCACCAGTAACCAACCACGAAAAAAAAATGTTTCCCCCTTTTAGTCTGGGTGTCTTTTCTTAAGCTTTTACAATAAGGGTCTTATGCAATATTTGTCCTTTTGTGACAAATTTCACTCAGCATAATGTCCTCAAGGTTCATCCATGTTATGTGGTGGCTTACAGATTCTTTGTTATTCTTCAAGGTAGCATAATATTCTATTGTATGTATGTACCACAGTTTATTTCTCCACTCTTCTATTGATGGGCATTTAGGCTGTCTCCATCTTTTTGCTATTATGAATTGTGCTGCTATGAAATTGGTGTGCATATATCTCCTCGTGTTATAGCTCTTTTTTCTTGTGGATTTATACCAAGTAGAGGAATTACTGGATCATATGGTATTTCTATTTCCAACTTTCTGAGTAAGCACCATATTATTTTCCAGAGTGGTTGGACCATTTTGCATTCCCACTAGCAATGTAGGAGGGTCCCAGTCTCTCCACATCCTTGCCAGCATTTATTGTCCTCTGCATTTTTGAACTTCGCTGCTAGTACTGATATGAGATGATATCTCATTGTTGTTTTGATATGCATCTCTCTAATGGCTAATGATGGTGAACATTTCTTGATATGTTGTTGCTTGCCCAAATCTCTTTCTTGGTGAAGTGTCTATTCATGTCTTGTGCCCATTTTTAAATTGGGTTACTTATCTTTTTCTTGTAGCAGTATTACAGTTTCTTATGTTGTTGTTGAGTGTCATCGAGTCGATTCTGACCCATAGCAACTCTGTAGCGTGTTTCCAAGGAGCTACTGGTTAGCTTGAACTACCAACCTTGCAGTTCAAACTGATTTTGCAGTCTAGCACATTAACCCACAGCGCCATACCAAGACTTAGAGATTTTAGAAATTAGTCCATTGTCTGAGAGATGAAGTTTGGTCATCTTGGCCTCCAAGGAGCACTCTGGCTGCACTTCTTCCAAAATGGATCTATTGGTTCTTTTGGCAGCCCATGGCACTTTCAATATTCTCCTCCA